CATATCTCTCTTTCTATCTATCTATCTATCTATCTATCTAGTGGCCTAGTGGTAAGAAGCTGTGCTGCGATCCCAAAATCACACAGTTCGAGTCTGCCACAGCTACTCCATGGGAGAAGAATGGGCAATCTCCTCCCATGAGATTAACTGCCTCTGAAAACCTGCCAGAGGGTCAGCTGTGGGACGGTACACAACAAATTTATCTATTTAATACACTCGTGCACACACACATACTCAGAGAACTCAAGGCTCAGAATCATCCAGACCCCACTAGGTGGAAATAATTCCAAATCAATAGTTCCAGGATGTATACTGGGAGCTAGACCTGACTTAAAGGATAGGTCAGGAATTCTACTAACCAGGAAGACAGAATTCTTCAGAGTATATTTAGTGCACTAAAAATAACAGGAGTGCAGAGAAGATGGCTGGGAATTGTCTGCTGGGGCTGGGAGAGGGCTGGTGACGCTGGGGAGGCGTGGGAGGACAATGGAGGAAGAGGAAGGGGGTCTGGCAGGTCCTGGTGGGCAGGCAAAGGGGATGCTTGTCTCCTTCCCCTTGCCATCTGTGACCCTGAGGGTGCGGATATTCCAAATCTAGAAAAGGGGTGGGTTGGGGTGGGGAAGAGTTCAGCCAGGGAGACCGAGGGGTCACAACCAAGACTATAGAGGAAGTTTGGAAAGGCATCAGATTGCTACAAAAAAAAAAAACAATGCCAGGAAGTGACTGTGCACTCTGTCAGGGGAAAATGAGGTGGCCAAAGGGACAAGAGAAGAGCCAGGTGACCACCAAGCTGATGTGAGGCCAAGATGACTCGCACCTGGAAACCCAGTGAGAGGAGGTTGCCTGAGCCCCACACCTCAATCTCCTCAGCTTATGGCTTCTCCTATGCACCCCAAGCTCTGGAAAGGGGTGAGGGTGAGGCAAGCGTGATCCCAGGGAGGTTACTGTAACACAACTCTGACCTCTAGGGTCAGAAGGCAAGGCCCAGGGAGGAGCCACCAGGCAAGCCCTCAGACCAGAGCTGGCCTAGAGCAGGAGTCCAGTGCCACTTACCCCCGTGGGCTGCTTCTTGGTGTCCAGCAGAGGGGCATTGAAACTGGCAGACAGACTGGGAGTGGCAAGAACCTCCCGGAGAGGGACCTTGGCTTCTCCCAGGAACCTAGGAAGAAAGAAGAGACTATAGAAAAACAATGCACAGCTCAGGGCTTTTCCTACCATAGTCCTCATCCCTCCACTGTGATTCAGACAAAACTCATCTAGAACACCAGTCTCCTTCAGGGGATTCCTCTGCCTCCACTCTGACCCCAGTCACCCCTGAACAGCCCTGGGCAGGGTTGGCTCCTGGGAAGAAAGGGTTATGAGAAGGATCCCCCCCCCTAGTGTTCCCTTGACCCCTTCTGTTCCTCCCAGAGGTCTACATTTGTTTTTCCTAATTGATGAACAACCACCAGTCATCTGGGGTCATCTTTCTACTGGTCTCTGTTAAGAATTTATTTTTTTTTTTTGTTAAGAATTTATTTGAACAGAGGTTTTATAACCCTATCTATCTAGATCTAATCAGTTACTTGTTTTAATTGCCTGCTTATCTAGACAAATTTTGCTTTTGGAATGTATAATTCTCAGGCATTCCTAGTCTTGGCTGAGTCTCTCTTCATGAATTTGCTTATACAATTCTTTGGTGACTGGACTGTTCAAGTCCCTGCCCCAGTTTTCAATTGAGTCATTGGTCATTTTGTTGCTAAGATTTAGATCTTCTAACGTGAATGAAGGAAGGAATGTGTGAAATACAATGTACATGAGTGAAATACAATGTATACAGATTTATAATGCAAACCAACATAATATTTTTAAAATGTTTTTAAATATTTCTATATTCTAGATATTGAACCAGTGTCTTCTGGATACTGCCTGGCTCCTTACTGACTAACTCCAAAGGTAGGAGGTGGTTTCCCTTACAATACTGTTCAATCAGGCCAGTACTAACAGATGTTGCATTCTCCTTGAGGCCCTGCACTCGGCCCTGGCATACAGACCTAGATACCCCTATGGCTCCAACCTTGACTCTGAGACCCCCCCCCACTTGTGATATAAAACATGTTACCTGTTGTACAGGAATATAACATAATTCAATCTACGTCTAGAAAATATGATACCCAGCACTAGTAGCACTGGACCACATATTAGTGAATGTATTTCTCTTTTTAAAGCTTCTTTTTTTTTAATTAGACAAATTTATTTTGATCACTCATGTGCATTATCCTGCAAGTAATCCACTCACAGGATGATAACAAGAGCACAAGGGCATCCAAGCCACTGTCTGATGAGATAACTGACTCAAGGTGACTCTTGGCTCAGTGGTAAGAAGCTGTACTCTCAACTTCAAGGCATGCACTTTGAATCCACCAGTTGCTTGGCAGAAGGATAGGTGACCTCCTCCTGTGCAATTTACTGCCTTTGACAATCCACTGTAGGGTCAGCTATGAGTTGGTCCCAACTCCATGGTACACAAAAACCACAAGATGGTGACTCCAGGTGTGCCACAGTAGAGATGTGCTCTGTAGTCTCCTGTGGCTGACTTTTCAGAGGTAAATCCCCCAGGTCTTTCCTCCAATGACCCTCTAGGGGCATTAATACCACTCAAGGACGTGTCAGATGCCATCGAGTTGACTATGACTCACAATGATCTTTGCTCTGTTCTGACCACTGCCTCCTGTTCCGAGTATAGGTTTTGCATGAGCACAACAAGTGCTCTGGGATTCCCATTCTTCTGAAGGTTAGCCACAATTTATTTTGATATACACACTCAAATGTCTTTGCATAGTGAATGAAGCACAGACAATGACTAAGGATGACAGGAAAAACTGATCCCTCTGAGTTGCGGTGCTGGAGAAAAATATGGAACATACCATATAGATCACCAAGAGAACAAATAGGTCTGTGTTGGAGAGGGTGAAACCAAGTTTCTTCTTGAAGGCAAGGATTTGGAAGCTCTATCTCAAACAATTTGGGCACACAGCCAGGAGGAACCAGACTTCAGAGAAGGACTTCATGCTCAGAAGGGTGTAGGGACAACTCAGGAGGGGAAGACCCTGGATGAGATGGACTGACACAGTAACTGGGCCAATGGAGGTAGGTGTGTTGGAGTCAGTGAGACTGGTTCAGGAGAGGTCAGGGATACTGTATATAGAGTCGCTATGAGTGGCAGGTGACTTGAAGCACGTAACAATGAGAGCAAAACAACATAGTGACCTTATGAACAACAGACTTGATCACTGTCTAGCCTTGTACCAATATCTGTCATGTCCAAGTCCTTTGCTGTAGTCACTGTGCCAATCCATCTCATTGAGGGTCTTCCTCATGGGTGGGTTCCAATTTCTCTGCACCTGTCACATTCCTTTTTTTAAATAGTCAGTTTAGAGGGGTAAGAGCTATCACTTTTGGGGGTTGGTTTTTACCTCCCTAACTAAGTCATTCCATGGAAGAAAGAAGGACTATCTTCCCCAGTGTGATTTACAGCCTCTGAAAACCTGCCTGATCAGCTATGAGTTCCATCTCAGTGGCAATGAGTTTTAAGTTAAGGGAGTTATATGTCTAGAGACCAACATGTATTAATGTTACTAGGGATAGGAGGGAAGGGACAAGGGGGAGCTACTGGCGAGAGGGCACTAAGCTACCGCCAATGACAGTGGAAATGGATAGTGAGGACCGTCAAACAACAAGATGAATATAATCAATGTCACTGATTGTACACGTAAAAAGTGCATATACAATTTAAGCAAATTTTTGTCCTCTATACTATTAGAGGGTGAAATCAAGTCTCTCCTTGGAGGCTAGGATTTTGAAGCTCTCCCTCACTTACTTTGGGCACAGGGCCAGGAGAAATCGGACGTTGGAGAAGGACATCATGCTCTTAAGGGTGGATGGACAGCGCAGGAGAGGGAGACCCTGAGTGGGATGAATTGATACAGTAACTGGGGCAATGTGGATTGGTGTGTTGGAATTAGTGAGACTGGCTCGGGGCAGGGAAGAGTTCAGAGCTGCTGTAGATAAGGTCGGTATACATCACAGGCGACTCAATGGCATATAACAACAATAACAAACTATGACAGGTTTAGAAGCAGGAGTAGCTTCCACTTCCTAAACAACATGCCTCCAGAAACTCTATGAACTTTGATAAATGTCGATAGTTGTAGAGGGGCTTCAGGCCTTTTGTTCATAGGGTCGCTATGAGTCATGCTTGGCTCAAAGGCAGTCAACAAAAACAACATATTATTATTGTTATTGTGTACCACTGAGTCAGAATAGACTCATACACTGATCCTCAAATAGGTTTTCAGAGACAGTAAATTGCACAGAAGGAGACTGCCCATCTTTCTCCTGCAGAGCATCTGGTGGATTAGAACTGCCTGCCTTTTGGTTGGCAGCACAATTCCTTACTACTAAGGGAGTTGTGGTGGCCTAGTGGTAAGAAGCTGTGCTGCAATCCTGAAGACACATGGTTTGAATCCACTAGCCACAATGTGGGAGAAGGATGGTCAGTCTCCGCTTGTGAGATTTACTGGCTCTGAAAACATGCTGGAGGGTCAGCTATGGGTCAGTTCTGACTCGATGGCATTCAACAGCAACAAGAAGTTCCCAGAGTTCATACAGTCTTATCACCACAGTGGAGAAAAAAGGTAGTAGAAAGAAAAGACCATGCAAACATGCAATAGGTGCAGGAGGCCTGTGAGTCCTTGCAACACAGAGAGATACAAGACACACTGTCCTTCATGGAAAACCTGGGGCTTGATTGCAATCCCAGAGGTACATGGTTCAAATCTCCTCCTGTACCAGTCAGATCCGATGTGACAGTACACACACAAAAAATAATACAATTTTTTAAAGAAAAAAAGAAAGAAAATCTGGGGCTCGGAGACAAGTGACTTGTCCAGAAGTGGTGTAGAGCCTGAACCCACAACACAAACTTCTTCTCTCCCAGTGCTGAAGTAGGAGGCTTCTCATCTGGGGTCCTGGGTATCAGGCCATGTCAGAAGAGAGCAGAGGGGATAGGAGGTCCCCAGGAACAGACAGCTGAGCACACAGTCTGGAGAGTTCAGAGGCTCTCAAGGGGCAGGCATCAGGGGAGGGACAGGGCTATAGGGCACATGGCAAGCCAGATCTCCCCCTTTTCCGCCCTCCCAGTGCCCATTCCCCAGAGAATTCCTGTAAGAGGGATGAGGAACAATGGTCGGAAATACAGAAGGAAACCCAGCCCCACCCCTGCCAGCTGAGGCCCCTCCTGGGCTGGCCAGAGCACAGGGATCGAGTGCTTGTCATTTCCTCCCTGAATGGTTTCGAAATCCCTCTCCACCCAAGGGGAAGGGTCACCTTTCCCAAAGCCTGAGGAAGAATAAAGATCAAATCCCCAAGAGTTAGGGGGAGGCATCCATCCAGGAGTGAGTAGTGGGGAAGGGCAGCCCAGACAACAGGGGCTGCAGGAGGGAAGGACAGACTCCTTGGAAAGGCCAGAAGGCCTGACAACAACTCTCTACCCATTCATCCCTTCTCAGAACCAGAAGGACCCCAGTGAGATCAGCACAGCCCAGGAGACGGTGACTGGGGCTGCTCTGGGCCACCTTCCTGCCTGTCTCTTGTTCCTCAGGAGCTGCCCAAGGATAACCAGTTTTCCACTTCAGTCCAGAGAAAGACAAAAGAAAAACTATTCCAACACTCGGGAATTTCCTGGACAGAGTTCAGGGCAAAATCTAAAAATGCTTGAGGACATGTCACTGCCTTGAATGTGCTGGGAACAATGAAGAGTGAGTTGTAAATATTCTTCCCCAAAACAGTCTCCCCCAAGGGTTCCAGAGAGGAATCCGATTGCTGAAATCTAGACCTGAACCCAGGCCTGATTTTCTCAGCATCCAGTAACAGCTCAAAGACCTTCAGGGGTGAGGCTGTGAGATTCCACTTCACACACCTGTTATCAGGAGGGATCAAGCCCAGGAGAAGGACAAGGTAACACAGAGGTCATCGAGGAAGAGGAAGATGGATGCATGCAGCAGCAATGACGGTGAGGGTGTCATAGGACCAAGCAGTGTCCCGCTGGACACGGTCACTGGGAACAAGATCCAACTTGAGAGCATCTAACAATGACGACAGTAAGAACAAGCCACCACT